GAAAAGTAACCAGGGGGAGGAGACATATATACTTCCTCATTTAAATCTCCATGCAAGAAAGCATTATTAACATCAAGTTGTTCTATAAACCAGTTTTTCAGAGAAGCTAAAGCAACTAATAGTCTGACTGTAGTTATTTTAGCTACAGGGGAAAATGTATCAAAGTAGTCTATGCCTTCTTCTTGGGTATAACCCTTGGCAACTAGTCTAGCTTTGTACCTTTCTATACTCCCATCAGACTTGTATTTTATCTTATATACCCACTTACACCCTATACAATGCTTCCCAGGAGGTAACTCAGTTAATTCCCAGGTTTTGGTTTGTTCTAGGGCTGTAAGTTCTTTATGCATAGCTTCCTGCCAAAGTGGGTTTTTGGCAGCTTGATGATAGGTTTTTGGCTCAGTAATTTGAGATATTGATGCTGTGAAACATGCATGTTCAGAAGATAATGATGCAGTAGATAAATGAGATGAGATAGGGTAATGGCATGTCCCAGATGTGTTATGAGTCTGTGGACTTGAAATGTTTTGTGAATCACATATGGTTGAACTAGTTGAAGGTAGGTTATGTTGATAAAGGCTAAGATAGGCAGGGGTTTTTATTTGCCTTGTTGACTTTCTTCTGGTAGGGAGATTGTGGGAAGTATCAGATGGGTCACAAGTAGTGGAGGGTTCAGCATTGTCAGGGTTTTGGGAAGTGTGAACATTGACAGGGTTCTGTGAAGTATGAGTAGATTGAGAAGGTGATGAAGAGTTTGGTGAGACAGAAGGATTTGGTAATAATGGGAGAGTTGGATCTTTGTTCTGAGCAGAAAAAGGAAATGGAGGAGGCTCAGGAAATAACTTTTGGGAAGTTATAGAAGTGTCATGTTTGGCAAAGGGAAAAACAGACTCATAAAATATCACATGTCTGGATATGAATGTTTTCTTGGTATCCAGGTTGTAAAGTCTAAACCCTTTACAACCTAATGGATAGCCAAGAAGTATGCACTTTTATGACCTTTTATCAAATTTGTTTCTGTTGACTGTCAGTGTAGATGCATAGCACAAGCAACCAATAACCCTTAAATGATCATATGATGGTGGTTTGTTATAAAGCATTTCATAAGGGGTTTTATTATTTAAAACAGAGGATGGAGCTCTATTTATAATGTGTGCAGCAGCTATAATACAGTCAATCCAGAATGGTAAGGGAAGACAAGCATGGAATATAATAGCTCTAGCAACTTGAAGAAGGTGTTGGTGCTTCCTTTCAACTCTACCATTCTGTTGTGGGGTTTCCACACAGCTGGTTTGGTGTATAATGCCATTTTTGGTGTAAAAATCATCAAGTAAAAACTCAGTACCATTGTCTGATCTGAGTGTTTTAATTTTGCAATTGAATTGAGTAAGAACCATGTTATAAAAATGTTCTAGAAATTTTCTAGTGTCAGATTTGTAAGCAAGAGGATAGATCCAGGTCACTCTACTAAAATCATCAACAATAGTCAAGAAGTATTTAAAACCAGAGTGAGATGGAACTGAGAATGGTCCCCATAAGTCACAGTGTATAAGAGAAAAGGGAGCATCAGAAACAGAAGTACTGATTTGAAATGGTATTTTCTTTTGTCTTGAAAAATGACAAACATCACAAGGATTTACATGCTTACATGAATCAGTATAAAATGGTAAAAGTTTCAGTTTACTAATGGACAAATGGCCAAGTCTATAATGCCATATAGAATTGTCTGTGGTAACAGAAGACATAGCATTTACAGGTAAAGATGCAAAAACACTTTCAGAATGATGTATAGCAGGTGGTAACTGATTGTGAACACCACT